ATCAGGATATCAGCAACATTTTACTAGTTAGCCACTTTTTGATATCTTTCACAGAAAATAAGATATATAGGCTCAAAGTGGACGATCCGGGTGTCGTTCTATTAGAGGTTTTACGGTATCCCAATTTCAAAAGTGTATATTTCCAAAACATTTTTAAAAAAGATTATGAGATGAAAAAGAACTAGAAAAATGGAAAAATAGTCGGAAAGTTGAGAAAAGAGGTGTAGGTCGTCCCTCCTCAAATGAATCTGACACTTCTTGTCTCAATTTCGTCGTTTTTGGTTAACGGACTGCGACAAAGAGGAATTCCAAAAATTATATATTATTTTTAGTCCGCAAAGAAGATTTCTCCTGAAAAGCTCTACAATTGTGTATTATCTTCTGACCCGAATTTCTGACAAAAAAAGGACATAACCGGAAACTTGAAAATGGATAAAAAGAAGAGATAACATCATATCTGGAACAATGGGATAATCCTTCCCAAGGATTATTTTTAACCTTTTTCGAGTTGAAAATGAATAGAAAAGTATGAGAGAATCTACGTGATAGACAGGAAATGGAGGAAGCCTCTCCAAAATTATAGAATTTTCAGAAATTTAATAAACTTCTGCACTTGAATAAAAAATAGACAGAAAACTACATTCCTTACTATTCAAAAACATACTATTCAAACTTTTCAAATTTTTAAACCGTCAGATTTTCAGATTTTCAGATTTCTGGATTTTCAAGTTTAGGAATTTTCAAATTTTAAGATTTTCAGATTTTTTGGATTTAAGATTTTAAGGTTTCAAGACTTCAAAATTTCTTGATTTTTTAATTTTCAAAGTTGTAGATTTTTGGATTTTTGGATTTATGATTTTAAGACTTCTGAGTTTTTAGATTTCTGGATTTTCAGATATTCAGGTTTTTAGATTTTTAGGTTTCTGGATTCTCAAATTTCCAAATGTTCAAAACTTTTGAATTTAAAATTCAAAAATCTGAAAAATGGGAATGTATAGTTTTGGTCTAGTTTTGGTCCAAATTTAAAAAAAACTGTTTTTCATCTATTTATTATTCTGGTACAAAAAGTCAGAGATGTGGAAGAGGTCCCACAACGACAACTACGATAACGCAAAAATTAAAATGAATCCGGAAAAAAACTAGGTTATACGTTAGTCTTCGTTTCGGGACCTTAGGTCACCGGCGTTTCTCCTCCACATCTTGGATTTTTCGTGCCACAATAATGCACCAGAATAATAATATTCCTCTGTAAATCAGAAACAATATTTCATAAACAATTAATGAAACTACGGTAGATTTCAGCGATTTCTGAAAAAAATTGAAAGTAAGAATGCAGAAAAAAGTGAAACCAAGAAACTGAGCAGAGCCGATACATGACTCCGAAAGACTATCATCATCTTCTCGTCCGTCTTCTCATCTCCACATTTTTTCTTCTTCTCCTTCTTGAAGTCCGTCCATAAATTGGTTTCGCTTCGGAATCTCTTTTCAGATTCCGCGACATCATTTAGGCCCCTATTCAGATGATATCGCCAGACTTCTTGTGCCGATTTCCAACTGGGATCTCCTAATTGAGATGTCAACTGACAGAAGAAATCGACTCAACCCATTTTCTGTACTTTTTAGGTTTGAAAGAAGAGAAAAGTTCAAAGAGTAATTCTTTTATCGGGCATGAAAAAGAAAAGTAAAAAGACATGAAAAATGGGAAACATGGTACTCGGATCACTGGTGGCAAAGCTAGAAGGTCAATATAAATTGGAAGAGAGAAAAAACATGAAAGGAAGACATCTTGAGACCCATTGTTGATTTGTTTTGTAAGTAGAAGAGATATTAGTTAAAATAATATAATTATTATATCATCAGCACACAACTTTTTTGAGCGTTTCTGGGAAACTATAAAAGGATATTAGTACATGAAACATTAAGAAGCCTATGGCAATCTATTGCGTAGCACTGTTAAATTCACTATCGGGTGTTGCTTAATAATTCGAATCGCATCATCATGGCTCATTCCTTTTGTTGATTGACCATTTATTGTTGTTAATTGGTCGCCGACCTAAAAAAAAGATTTTTAAATAAGAACCAAAAATAAATAATGAAATTCTATACCTGTAATCGTCCATCGGCTTTGGCGGGTCCGTCATCTGCGATACGGAGAACGAAAAGTGGCATCGCTCCGAATTCTTGTCCGCCGCGAATTGAGAACCCGAATCCCTTGGTGCCGCGTTCCAAAGATACATCAATTAGATTTCCGTTCTGAAAAAAAACTGATTATATTTTTAGAAACCGACGGAACAGGAAAGCTTGGGGTGCAGAAACTATCATGCAGACACACAGAAACAATACAAAACGAACCGAAGACTTCGTTCCATTTCGATGAATTCGTTTTCCTCCGAATACGTATCGATAACCGATGTGCTACGCAGATGGGCGACAAGAGATTCTTGACTCGTACCACCATTTATCTGACGACACAAAACACGAAAAACTCAAAAAATGATGGGGGACAAGGGACAGGAAAGATAACGACAATGATTATTATTACTTGTGCGACGAAGACAAAATATCTACTTGACATGTATTAATTGCTTAGTGCTAAACCATGGAAAATAGGTACTCACCGATGGCATTCTGTCATTAATTGAAAGACTTTCAAATCCAAGATACGTCGGTGGTGGATGTCTTTCGTAGGCAGATGGTGGTGGTGGTGGAAGACCGTAGTTCGATTCATAGTGTCCATTCATTGTGAAGTTCCGACCAAGAGTCGCAGAAACCATTGGAAGAACTGGTCCAGCTGTGTCTGGTGGAGCGATGGTTAATCGAACTGATAATCCAGAGTCCTTGATCAATGCTATGATGTCAGGGTGTGCTAGGTTCAGAATATCGATTCCATTCACAGCAATCACTCTGTCTCCAACCGATAATCTCCCACATCTAGCAGCTGGACTGCCTGGCTGGATTTGGCCAATCGTAGATCCATTTTTGTGATGAGAAGACATCAGTACAAATCCGAAGCCATCATTATCGTTCCGATAAAGAAGTACATCATATGACCCAGACGGTCCTGCTGAATTGAGTGATCCACGCCGAGCTGGATCGACCTTTGCTGATCTCCTCACTACCAACTTGACATGTTTATTCTGTGCTGCTGCCTCAAGAAAAATAACAGCTTCTGAGTGTGAAGCTCCCTCGACATTGTGTCCATCGATCTCTACGATTTCATCTCCTTCGTGCAATCGTCCGTCTTCTTCTGCAGCTCCTCCTATCACAATTTGCCCAACGGAAAGTACAGTTTTCGATTCAACGCCTCCAAGAAGACGGAATCCGAATCCAACAGGCTTCCGAATCAGAGATACAGTAATTAAATCTGATGGTTTTTGGTTGTACTGACTCAGCGGAATGTAGTTTGGTGTCGCAAAGCCTAGAGTTGTTGAGGATGGTCTCATCCGGCTAGCTGTTTGTGCAGAACCATTCATACCTTCCCATTCAGACGTCACTGCGGGTTGCTGAAAAAAAAGCACTCATTGTTTCAATTAGTTTCTCGAAAAATAGCCTTAAAAACTCAACTAACCCGTTGGAGTGTGCTCCTAACAGACTGTTCTTCTTCGGCTTTTGATGATTGACGACCAGCGGGTGTTTTTGATCGAACTGGCGCCGAAGCCGCTGAAGCTGCAGAATCAGTCATAGTCGATTGTGGTTCTCCATATCTGAATGCAGCTGAAGGTGTTCGAGACCTGGTTTTAGGGGATCCTCTCTTCACAACAAGCTTTCCACGATATCCAATCGGTCGCTCACGGAGCATGTCGACAAGTTGAGTGTGAGGTATGGGTCGAACATTTCTACCGTCCAGTTCAACTATCGTATCTCCCTCCATAAGGTTCGGACATTGTGATGGAAATATGATTTTCTTTATCCTTTGTCCATTCAGATTATCCGCAATGGTGAATCCAAACCCTTCTGGACCTTTGTAAATGTCGATTTCATGAAGATCCCGATTTTTGGCAGCTGCGTAGACGTTTTCAGTGATTATCCTGTTCGTTGGATCAATGAACAGTTCGTATCCCCGACAAACTTGAATATCAACAGCTTCGCCAATGGGAATGGCAACGAACACATCACATGCTTCTTTTTGAGTTGCTCCTAGCAGAAGACGTCCGTTGACTCGGACGAGGATATCTCCTGATCGAAGTACTCCGTTCGCAGCAGCAGGACCTCCAGTTAACACAGATTTGACCTGAAAAAAAAATATATTTCTGATTGCTTTTTTTAATGTCATAGTATGCTTTGATCATTCTCTCTCAACCCAATTCCCAACAAAATCTCGGACCTTCAAATTCATTCAAGCGCATAGCCTACCCCATTTCATTCCTTTTTTCTCTTTTTTTTTGGTTTTAGAGGGGAGTGAGAATGGGGTGAATGAAATGGGTCAATCAGCTTTGCAGGAGAAAAAACACACACATTTCCATTCCATTCTCATAGTCCCAATGTTTTTCAAAGGCGCCAAATTCAAAATGCGTCACTAGTAAAGAAGAAGAGATCCCAAACAAAATGGAGAGGTCGAGAAATTAGAATTCTGCAGATGCGAAGCCGCCGAAGGAGCGGCTCGCGTCGTGAAAACACAAGAATACTAAAAAGCGAACGATTCGAGAATGAAGAGAGAACAAAAACTAGGATTCCTCTGGGACTCGTTCGTTCTGAGGTTGTGTGTGTAAATTCTTCAAGCTCCATCAAATTTTCTTCTTATATAGTTCAAGATCTTTGGGAAGTGGGAGAAGAATTGACCGATTTGAAATAGTTAAATACAAACCTGAATGAACTCATCACCTCGACTCGATGCATCGTTTCCAATAAGCGTGAATCCTAGTCCTTTGGCTCCTTTGACAATTTTTGTAGATATCAATTCCCCTCCTAGTCTTGCTGGATCGGTTGTAAACAATGGATTCGAAGACCTGCTGAACATTTTTGAGTGATGATCATAGTCGGCTGAAGATGCTCCTATGTCTGGGGGATCCCCAAACTTTCTGTATCTTGTCGGTGAACTATCGAATCCAGAATCTCTAGGTGATGATGATGATTTTAGAGTGCCACTCTGAAATCAAGAAAAATAGTTTTTCTGCTGGTAGAAAAGAAAAAACCTACATTATAATGTGAATACATATTATTATGGTTTGCAGACGAGGGAAGCGTTCCATATTTCACTTGTTGGTCTATTGTTACTGCAGATCCACCAAATCCATACGGCCGTTCATATTGCGTTTTTCGATTGATGTGACTGCAAACATTCAGAATTAGGAATAAGAATGATTTTAATTAAGTGTTGGCACATATTTATAATCACTACTTTCTACTTGACACAATCCTACTTTTTAGATGATGAAGTATGCTGGACTGCTTTCAACAGTGGCACACCTTCTTCACAATCATCATCTGGTTGATCTTCGTCTTGTGATCGAAACGAAACGAATCCTTTATGCCGATGGCTTCCACCACCAAACGTGGTTTGTGTGGCTGTTGAATATCGAGATGCGGGTGTATTGAACACCGTACCCGTGCTAGTCGACGGAGCAAAATAGATAACCGACGAGATGAGATCCGATCCCGTCGGGTATGATGAGGACATCATCTTAGGGACGGAATGATGACTATAATAGTATGAGAGGTCTCATAATTGATATGTATCAACAGAGAGGAAACCAAAGGAAAGAGAAAGCTCAAATGTTCGTAGGATTAAGGTCCCACATGCACAAAAAATAGTAGAGAAAGAAGTGACTTGTGGGGGAGACGCAGAGAGAAGAGTTGGGGAAAGCGGTGTGGGTGGAGTCCTCTTCCAAATTTAGTATGCCTTCGATGATGATGACAAAGTGGAGAAAAAGGAAAGGAGAAAACGAGTGGACATGGGAATGGATATGTATCCGACACATATGTACACTATGTAGGTGTGCTTGACAAGAATGGCGAGCAGTCAAAAAAAGTAATGACGGGAATGTCATGGGAGAATAATTTTTTAAAAGTCAATTTTACTGGGTTATTCAGGAATTCAGCGAAAATCTTCATATATCTATTGCTGAGCTGAGCTACAAACTCTATTATACACCAGAAAAAACGCTGAGCTCGAGAAGAAAAACGGAATTATTGAAGACGTATGAAGGTTAGAATTATGAATGAAGATCTTGGAAAGAAATTTTTTACAGATAAGTAACAAAAAAGAGGTGACACTACTTGACTAGGAAGCACCAACGATAGAGTATGAGAGAGCAAGAGATTTCCATTTTTGTGAATACGGAGCAGGGCGGAGAGTAGAGACGATGTTAGAAGATAACCCAATTGTGGATGGCAACAAGAAGACGTCGAAAACGAGATTTCACAACAAGAAGGAGCAGCGGTTGTAGAAGAAGAATAAGACTTCAGAAGACTTTTCTGGAGTAATCTGACCCTAGCGTGAAAGATTGGGTAGCAGTTGCAGATTCGATTCTGAGATTTGGAGCGAGACGAAAAAAAGGAATAAAGAAGAGAAGTATGATACGGGTGTCAAATTTGACAGAAAAAAGAGCTTGAAGAGACACTTTTGAAGAGCCTAGACGTGAGAGAGGGATCACAAATCTTTTTTGGACAGCCTGTCCCGGACAGGATCCAAATATTCTTTATTCAATCTTTTTTGAAAAATTAATTTAAAAGTTTTAAATTAAAACTCACTCGACATAGAATGTTCCGTAGTTCTGATCATCAACTTGTTCCCATCCGGGTGGTAACTCTCTTGGATCATCCCAGGTTGTTGTTCCGGTATTGTGACTGAAAGAAAAGAAGTTGAAAAGAATTTCAGCATTAAAATTAAAACATACTCTATGAAATATTTGTCGCCATTTTCGGTGTAAGCCGTTTCCCAGTTAGGCGGTAGCAATCCTTCATTGCCCATTAGCATCATATCTTCATCGGTATAGCTCTCGATTGGACGAGGTGTACCGTACAGATGACCTGAAAATCGGATTGTTATGTTGGTCGTTTAGAATGTCAGACGATATAAAATTAGGTACAGAAAATTTATGTACCAGACAGACGATTTTTATTCTAGCGTCATTCTGTTTTTAGAAACCGTCGACTGAAGAAAATGTCCTCTCTGTATTTGAAGAGATCACGGAAAGTAGAAAAGAGAAAGGCGGCACTTATGAGGGGAGAGAGTGAGTCAAAAACAATAAAATAGGGGAAGGAAAGATGGTCACGCCGTCCCCGTATGACACACAAAAGGAAAAGGGACGGTTTAAATAAGGCAAAGTGCATGGAAAAGATGGGACCGAGACATTTTTCACACGAGAAAGTATCAGTTTGATGTCTTTCACTACCTTTGCCTTTTTCTTTTTTTCTCTCCATTTCTCTCGACACCACAATATTTGAATATCAATAAAAATTGCAAATGAGAGGCAGAGAGAGGGACAGGAATGGAATAAGAGACTCAATAATACTGATAACGAACAATTGGTAATTGTGCATGTGTGGCCTTTTGCCACCATACAGCAATGAAGTGTTGTAGATACAGTAATCACAACGACGGAATGATAGAAAAATTAGGTCTTATTTCGTAGGTTGTCAGTTAGGACACATATTTGGAAACGAGTTGGTTGGCAAGCCCAGACCGAATTCAGCTATTTTTCAGAAACTTTCGCTAGAGAAAACATGAAAAGATGTACAGTATCTTGTTGTTAAACAATGCAACGCACGGGAGGTCAAGAAAAAGAAAAAGGAGAACCATCAAAGAAGGTATCAATATGCGAAAAAGCATGGTCTTCGATTGGAAGAGATGGAAGAGAGATGCAGGACAAAGCAAACATTTCATCAAGGAGAAGGAGGAAAGGCAAAGGTGTGAACAATACACGGATGATATAAGGAGGTACAGAGCGCGGAAGAAAGGTCGCATCAAGCACCTTTCTCTCCAAATGTGCCTTGCATATAGATTACACCAATTTCTCATTCCAACATGTGCCATTGGTTAGATAAATCGACCTTGTTTGCTCTTCAGTCGGTCGTGAGAAGGTGGGAACACACGCCATCGAAGAACTCAAAGTCGGATGGTGTTGTGAAACTAATTTGCCTCGTTCAGGCGAATAGGTTGCAAATCCTTTCGGCGTAACGGATGACGATTTGTTCATTGTCGGGAGGGACACTGAGATAACAATCAGCATGGCAGGCCGACGTCGACATACGGGAGAAAAGTTTTCTACATACAGTGTCAGGGTGAACAAACACAACAACACGCTCGACTGAACGTCAGATACACGAACGTAGGATGTGGGATGAAAAAGTATGAACACAAGAAGAAGAGGCTGTCGGATCGACTGTCTCCGACACACTCATTTGCTATATTTTCTGTTGGAATACTTTGGATCGTCGTGTTCCGGAAGCGATTTAGAGGGTGAGAAACAGACGATGGACTTGTCTCCGTGAATATTACATTCGGATAGAAAAAGAAGAAGTAGCAATTTGTATAGCATTAGAAAAACGGACGAACCAGTGGGAAATGGAACATAGACAAAAAGCATACTAGAACAAGAACGGGATAACATGACACAATCTCGTTAGCATCCGATTGTCTTCAGTGAACATTTTTAGTTTCATCGCAAAATGTTATGTAGCTGGTGTTCAGAGCACAGTTGGATCAAAATACAAAAAGCGAAAAGGAAAAAAAAGTAGGAGGAGCAGATTTAGAATAAGCGAGAAGGGCATGTGTTGGAGGAATAAACTATTCTGGGTCACCAATAAATTAGAAATGAGAAAATGAACGTCTGGGGAGTGAATCTATATCTACTTGTCAAAAAATTCGAGTTATTTTCCGTATGATTTCGAAAACTGACCTTCTATCTAATATTCAAATCTTCCGAATGAAAACTTTTTATAAAGTTTAAACCTATCCAAGATGAAATCAACCTAATTTGAATACCGTATTATATGTCCTTCTAAGATTTTCACAAATCGGATATGACACTTTTCAATTGCCTCTTTTTTTCGGAATAACGGTTACCTTTCATCATTGTTCTTTCTTTTTTCGTTGTCGAGGGAACGTCCTCGGATTGCGTTCTTCGCAATTTGGCGGCTAACAGTAAGCGGCGGACACGCTGCATTTTTTTCGGAGAGGAATTTATAATTATGTCGACGGAACAATAATCCGGCAAGCAATAGAAATAACAAAAGAATAATTACAGCCCTTTGAATACCAGTCAATTTGTTTAGGTTTATGTAGTTCCTCGATTTTCATATGCGATAAAACAGGCATTCACATAATTGACCTGTGGAAGTTTAGCAAGAATTTGGGAATTGAGTAGGTTTGAGTGGGCGAAACTGAGGGAACTTTTAGTTCGAAACTAATTTGCCTTTTTGTTTCTCATTCCGGAAAAAAAAGACCAAGAAAAACGGTTCTACTGGTTGAAAAAAACATCATTGTTATCCGGGAAGCGCAGACATCAGCCTCTTCCCATAACTTCATTTTTAACAAAAAAAAGAACCTTTCGGTCAAAAAATGAGAAGTCTCCTCCTTCTTTCTTCTCTTTTCACTTTTTTTTGTCAAATGACTAGCTCGCACCTCTCTTGGTGTTTTCTCCCAAAAAAAGTAAAAGTTGTTCACTAAGAATTGAAAAGATAGTGGAAGACGAAGAGACGCAGAGAAGTCTTATCAAAATTTCTGAATAGTAGACGGCAGCTGGAGGACTATTTTTTCACTTGTTGCAACTATTTCGAGAAAGAAGATAGAAGTAGCGTAATTTGAAGACTGAATAGAGGTCATAGAAATACAGATGACCAGAACTTTTTCTATATTATAAACTAAAAGTAATCATATTCAATTGGATAGGTGCGACGTTAATTCGAAAACGGACACTAAAACTTGAAAGTGTTAAGATTGATTATTTCGATTTGTGATATGTTATTCTACGCATTTTGGGTTGAAATGATTAAAGATTGCCATAATATACTGAAAAGAGATGAAAAATCATAGAAAATGTTGCATTTTTTCAATTACTCCACTTCGGGATATCCTTCAATAACCATCTAGAAATCAGTACAGTTTTACATGACTAGAAAGATGCTATTCAGTGATGTTCGGAATGGAATTCCGACCGGAATATTTGAATTTTTGAAAATTGTATTCGTTTACCAAATTTGTGATGGGAAAATGAAATTCCAAATTTGACACTCGGAATTTGCGACATTCCGGAAGATTTCCATTCCGAACATCCCCGGATGCGATTGTTATTTCAAAAACACAGTTGAGAAAAAAGGATTCGTGAAATTCGAGAGTGCTTGTTGTCGTTGTTTTTTCGAGAATCGAGTTCAAGTAGAGATTAAGGAAAGTGTAGAGTGAGAGGAGAAGACTTGCGAAAAAGTAAGAATAGAATAAGAAGAATGGAAGAAGAAGTATTCATGAGAAGATGGAAAAGGATTGAATTAACGAAATCGAATTGAATCTCCCCACTACTATTGGACCATCGGCTTAGTTTTCTCTTTTTCCCAAATTGGTGAAATGCAGAAAGGATTCTCTAAAACAATAGAGAGAAGTTTTACTTGTCAAGCCTCCCAAAGACGCCGTTGGTTCCGGTGACAAGTGAGCATGATATATTCGTTTTCTCAAGCTGACTGAATCCGACATATGGATGAAAAATGATCTGGGAAGAGAAAGAAAGAAAAGGAAAAGAATTTGAAATTCGCGATGACTTTACAAAGAATGTAATCTAACCCCAATTTAGGTTGAACCCTTGTGTCAGGTAGGAGCGGAAAAAGGTGAACAAGGCGCAAAATGAGCGGATAGTCTGTGGAAGGATGAAGAGAAATAGTGTGTTGAAGAGAGAAAGCACAGACGAGGCATGGTCTTCCATTTGAGGACATACCATTATTGCGCAAGGTGAGGAGGAAAGACAACTGAGGTAGAAAACCAAGTAACAAGGGAAGATGGTGATGATGAGAGAAGAGAAGGAGGACTGGCAGATGGAGCTGAGAAATCGGGCGTAATCTCAAAAAGAGATGCCGAAAAAGGAAGCCAGGTGCACAGAATTATTTGCGGGATTTCGGAATGAATTATGTATGCATGACAGTAAGTAGTTAAACAAGTTGTTCAATTGTT